AATAATATTAATAATAATAATAATAATAATAATAATAATAATATATTAATTAATAATAATACACTTACTATTGGTTTCTTCATACCAGGAGACATTACACTATAATGAATAGTTATTAACAGTTATTAGTAGTTATTAACTAACAGTGATTCTCCATAAAAGTACGAAATGCTTCCAATTAAGTTACTAAATGCTGACTGTGCAAAAGTTATCATATCATCAGAGAATCCCTGGAATATAATGATAACAATAGCAACTCCACCTTCAAAATACCTTTTCTTTAAGGTTGAACGTTTCTTCAAATTTCTTATTAAAATAATTTGAATATTTGGCCAGTTCCTCTCCGAACCTCTCCCCCACCAGCGGGACCTGTTCCCCTGATGAATAGGTGACCTCAAACTCCAACGGCAACTGACCATGCATCTAACAATTAATAACTATTAATAACTGTAAACCACACCCATTACCTGATACACTACTAGTTTTGTTTTCTTAGAGTCAAATATGTATCGTTCTCCAGGAAACAGTGGGCTCCGCCCCTCCTTCAGTACCGTCTCAATGAAATGAGATAACAGACTGATCTTGTTAAGATCGGTTGCTAGGTAACTGTAATACGGTTGCCTAGCAACGGTTGGTGTGAAATTAATCCTAAACTTACCAATCTAAAAGAACACCTCATACATCATCAGTATTAAGATATTGCCTCTCTCTCTCTTACAGTATCAATGTCTCCAGTAATACTTTCAATAGTGCTTCCAGAGTTTCCTAATTCAAAACTCAATTTCTTCCGTCCCTTCATTAAATACATAGAATAATAATGATATTGTCGCATTTTCAGACGAGCGAGAGTCTGCCCTGATCCTGGCAGTCCATGATTCACCAGGTGCTCCTGGTAACGTGTTGATGATAAAACTGGTGGAGAGTTTCATGTCTAGAGGAGGAGGAGGAGGGCCAGTGATGATCATATACTGTAGAGATAACTTTGTTTGATGCATATACATGTGCTTAAAATACATAGAAAGTTTGAGCTAATTCTGATTAAAACTGGATTTGTAACAAATTTTTT